AGTTTGTTTTGTAAGACTGCATTTTATAAATGATCAAGTAACATTTCGATTTCAAATTTTTGTGACTGATTTTTTCAATTTTTGTAACTGATTTTTTATATTTTGTAACAAATATTTTGTAAGGGATTATTTCTAAAAATGAAATATTTATTTTTAATACTATATTTTTCTTAATGTTTTCTAGTTTATATTAGAATGATAATGTATGTTTACTAGTTATATTTTATAAATTTATATTCTACTTCATGTAATTTTACAATTTTATATTGAAAGTGGGTTAAATATTTAGTTTCATTTTTTATTTTATGAAATATGAACACTATAATTTAATTTAAATCTATAACTTAGCCCTCCTTTGCTTTAAGGTAATTTTTGTCACTTGCACCCATAGATCATTGCTTAATAGAATTATTATACTCTGTCTCTGAGGTAAACAATGAATAAAACATATATTTTCAGTTCAAATTGCAATAAAATTATTCAAATACTGAGTTCACTGGAAAAATAAACTCAGACTTTAGGCTGTCCAACAATTCTGTTGATGGGAGTGTTACTGTACAAAGAATAAACTGAGCTTATCTAGGCAGCAAATAATTCTATAGTAGTGTTCATTTGTGTTTTGTTTGTAAGTTATTATAAACTTTTCTGTCAGAACTTCCAGGTTGTCCTTCTCCTTCACAAAATAATTTAATTAGCTTTTAATATTAATATGTCTAGTATTTAGGCACCAAACAGAAATAATAATATGGCAGAGTTCAAGAAATTTTTTAAATCAAATACTAAATATTTAGTGGAAATGGTTCCACTAAATTGAAAATAATCTTTCTTGTCTACTACACAAAGCATCTATATTTCAAAACCAACTTTTAGTCCTGAGGTTGAATACTTAGATTATTTTTCCCCAGAAAAGACACAATGAAACAGATATCCTTCCACTAAAATGTGTAACATGCCTAGGTAATTTCTGCCCTGCTCTCTCTCTGTCAAAAGTAAATAAGCCCTTGATTTGGAGGTATTCGTGCTGACCTTCATTTTTAAAAAAAAGCAGCCCCAACACAATTATAACACAAACACGAAATACCTTATTACTAAGCACCAAGTGGCTTAAGAATGAGACAAGAAGGCCATATTGTCTGGAGATCTGAGTGTTCACCGAAGCTTGAAATACATAATTCCTTTCAGAATATCAAGATTTTCAGAATTCTTGGTAAATTCTATCTTCTTGTTTCAGGGGTGGGGATGTAAAGTACACATTTTTATGTGTGTTTTATGGCCATGCATTTCAGCAAATTTGGAAATCCTTTTGCTTCCCTGTATAGTACTGCCTTTAGACCCAGAGCAGACAGGCTTTGCCCTGAGTCCCATGATTTAAAGCAGTGGTTCTGAACCAGACTTGACTTTGCCCCTTAGGAGACATTGGAGAGTGTCTGTAGACATTTCTGGCTGTCAGTCTGGGAGTGGTGAGATGCTACTAGCACCTAGTCAGGAGAGGCCAGGGATGATGTAAACGTCCTGCAGTGCGCAGGTCAGCCCCCCACAGCAAATCACTGTCTGCTGTAGGATGTCAGCAGTACCAAGGGTGAGCAGCCCTGATTCAGAGGGACCACTCTGGCCACCTCCTCCCCTCATCCCATGGCGCAAGGAGTCTGTCTCCTGAGGACTTGTGTTATGCCCACCTGGAGCCTGGCCCCTCCTCTGGAGCATTGTGTTTCAAGTGTGGCCCCGAACCAGCAGCCACAGCAGCACATGGGATCTTGTAGAAAGGCAGTTTCTGGGACCTCTTCTCACACTTACTGAATCAGGAAATCTGGGGATGGGGCCAACAATCTTTGCTGTAACAAGTCCTTCAGGTGATTCTGATGAATGCTAAGTTTGAAAGCCACTGTTCCAAGAAGTCCAAGAATCCTATATTTGAACTGAAGGCTATGCTTGTGAAGATGGGTAGAATATATTTTTCTTAAATAGCTTGTTAACTTGATTTATAACAGCTAAATATGTGGACATGCAGTATGTGGGCCTCGATTTGTACTCTTGCTCTAGGCCCCACGAATGTTTGGGATGGGTCTATGTCTGTGTCTCAGTTTTCTCAGGCTGTCGAATGAGAACATTAGATTAGATTGTTGCTTGAATTTCTTTCTCTGTGTATGATTTCATGGCTGCTATAGAGACCTTTAGGCCTGACTGTATTCTCTGCCCAGGCTCTCTTAGAATACAGTGACTGTGATGCCTAGTGACTGGAAATGTTTTTTGCTTTTCTGCTACATAGTTGTTTCTATACATCTTAGGATGGGAATATTTTTGTCATTGTATAATTTTTACTTTCCATGATAAGTATTTACTTTTATAATTTAAAAAATAATTTAAAGGAAAAAAATCAGTAAAACCAAAATCACACAGATGCTCAGATTCTGTATGATGACAGAAATAGAACCATGTGGATTAGGTGATAACAGGCCATAGGATGACATTTCTAATGCTGAAAGGTTTATTTTTGTGCATGAGAAGCATGCTAGTGTTTAAGAATTTCATGGAAAACTAATTTTTATAATAACATTCCTGTCTTCTTAATGATGAATTTCTTAGATTTCTCACTTGATATAACTGAGGTTCAGGCTAAATTGCCTTTCATGTTGGAGGCTAGTGAACAAAATGGAAAAACATCCCTTGTGCAAGGCTGTGTGCAGCCCTTTTCTGGGGTGACTGAGGGGCCTTGTGAATTTTAAGACTGAAGTGTCCTTTGCAATGATTTTCCTGTCCAACATCAGTGCAAATGTTAGTCTAAATTGCCCTATTTGTGCAAGTCCCTTGTTGCCCGATGAATACCTGCCAAAAGAATGACTTGATTAAAGAACAAACCTGAAACTCATCTTTCTTTGGCTTTTTGCCTGTAAAATTCCTGGATTTAGATGACCACAGGTTGTTCTGTTGCAAAAAGGAATTCTCAGGATGCAGGTATCAGGAGAAACACCACCTCTGACTTATACTTTCCATCTCGCTATGTTTCCACATAATGGCACTTCTGGGATTGATAAGAAGCCAGGCTCTCATTTTGTTCAAAGAAAAGAAAAATTCTCATTTTGCAGTAGGTTTTGTGAAGTCTTCAATAATCTAACAGGTCTCTTAAATTTCTAAATATATTTAAATCTTGTGCAGCTCTTCTTGAAGTGCAGTCAGGGTTCATGCTGTTTTAGAAATCGAATGATTAAAATGTATTCATTATTAAGGCCTCTGTTTTATTTTTAATCTTTGGCTCTTATTCTATTATCAAGGTTCCCCCTAGGGGGTTTCCCTCTTTTAAAAAGTAACAGGATTTGGGGAGGGTTTTGTTCCTTTTTTTAAAATTTAAGTATATTTGGTATAGTTTCAGGTGTAAAACATTGATTTGGCAATTATATACATTACAAAATGCTCACAATTATAAGTGTAAATTGATAAGTGTAGTTACCATCTGTCACCATGCAAAGTTACTACAGTATTACTGTCTATATTCCCTATGCTGTACTTTTCCCCCATGTGACTTACTTATTTATAACTGGAAGTTTGTACCTCTCTATTCCCTTTGTACCTATTTTACCCATTCTCCCCTCCCCACCCCTGTGGTACCCACCAGTTTGTTCTCCGTATTCATGAGTATTCCTGTTTTGTTTATTCATTTGTTTTATCCTTTTATTTTCTGTTAAGTGATTATGATAGTTCTCAAAATTTAGGTCAAATAGTAATTTTTCCTTCAGTGTCACTGAATGTAACTTTTCTTCTCTTCCTGTGACCCTCCTTTATTTATTTGCATTTTGCAAAAAAAAATGGCATCCCATTATGGAAAAAAATAGTTGATAGGCATGCAGACTTAATGGTACTAGAACTCTGGAGATTTCCAGGTTCAGTGCAGCTTGCCATTCTTTTAAGTTTCACTGATGTATTTCTCCAAACATTTCCACTGGAAAAAAATGCCATATCCATGTCATTTTACTCATTATCAAGCACCCCATCATGAAAGTTGCATCTTGCAACTGTCATTTGAAGAGCTCACTTCCTACTTGAAAAGTGGAGATGATCTGATCTGTTCTCTTCATGAAATCTCTTGCATTCTCTCCCTCTCCAACTCCAGCAAAGTACCTGCTTCCTTCTCTCCCATTTCCTTCCAGGTTCAGAAGAAACTCTCCTGCTCTTATTTCAATTAATTCCCCTACCTCCTCTCCCATCAGAGGATAAAAATTCAAAAGATTTTCTTCAAATATGGATTGCCTAAAAGAACCAATTAATTCATGAAGAATAGGATATTTGACACAAAGACTTAAATCTTTTTGAAACCTAAGGTTTTAAATCCTGGATACAGTGTAGCTGTATTTATTCCAACGATTGAACGAGACAATCACAGGAAAGTAATGCTGAAAGTTGAGTGAGAATAGGTACAGAATAAAATAATATTTCTAACTCCTATCCTTATTGTCCTGAGTTCTTCCTAATTTTTACTGCCAAAAGCATTTTGCAGTACATCAAAAAAATTCCACTTACAATTTTAAACTGTCTAAACAGAACTTAGATGGCCACTGATTTTCTTTACTTAATATTTATTTTATTTTAAGGTATTGTTATATTGCAGGTTACATGGGCAAAGAAAGAGGAGAAAAACCCCAGGCAGATACATTTTATTGAATTTTTGATCCCTTGCTCTTGTTCTGAAGTTATTGAAGCTTTTACATCATATGTATTAGAATTCTAACACCTCAAAAAGTTCACAAAGTTTATGTCTGCAGAGAGAATGACTAAAACAGTTGTAACAGTTTGGATCTTTATTGCTTCAGTTCACTTTCAGTAACTTCCCCTCTTCTGATCACGTTCTATGCCAGATTTCTAATATAAATAAATCCGCCTCTTGAAATACTGACTTACATTACAATGCAGTGCTTCTCTTTGAAATAGAAAGAGTGCTACATAATGATATTACCTGGTCAAAGATCCTTGTGCTTTTAGTATTTAACTGTTACTTGCCCTTCTATCAGAGAACCATCTGTGACCAAATTGATACAGGAACAGGAGCAAGACCAGCAGTGGCTGACTTTACACTCCAACTGGAAGAGCCTCAATGGGACCACTTTGCATGAACTTCTGGTAAAAGGGTAAGAGCTGTATAGAGGGGATTATGGAGTAAAAGGGCTTCTCTTTTTAATGTAAGATAATCTAAATTTGTTACATCAGGAAAAAGTTTCCATAGAATGACTATTAGCTTTTATATTTCAACATTGTTGGGCTTTTCTTCTTCTTTCTAATCATAAATTTTTTTCTCTTGGCTAATTACATTTTTCTTTATGATTAGAGAAACTATCATGAGGAATGAGGAACTTGAGTTCTAGGAATTTTTCCACATCTTACTCTAAATAAATTCTCATGTTGGCACTTCCTACAGATGCTACGTGGAACTTGTTAGCAGAGGGAATTGAAGTGTAATGACAATTGATAAAACTTGGAGAGTCTGAGAAAAAATATGCACAAAATGAAATTATAATCAAGTAGCCTTAAAGTACAATTCTGAAAAATTTCCCTTAAAAAAATCATGGCATCTTAAATAGGGTTGCCTCCCTGTCTAAAGACAGTGTACAGGAAAAGATAAATTAAAGAATTAACACTTATTTAGTGTTTATTACACTACAGGGACATACTGTAGATTATTTAAATAACTTGCCCAAAACTCACAGCCCACAAACAGTGATAGCTTCTCAACTCAAACCAAGTTTAGCTGACTACAGAGTTTTTACTAAGTGCTAGAGATACCACCTCTTAATATTCCCAAAGAAGAAATCTAAAGTTCTCTTAAGAGTGTCTTGATATTTTCCCCATAGACCAAACTCTACAGCCAAATTTTTAATTATTTGTTAACTAAAGTACTTCCTCCAAAACAATGACTGAGTCTTTCAACAGAGTGATTTGTTTCCCAAAACTGAGAAGGCCAGAAAAGCCCTTTCAGGGCTTTTTAAAAAGAAAATAAAATAAGTAAGTAAATAAAAATAACAGTCTAAATTGGGAGTTAGTACAACTGGTTCTAGTCCTGGCTTACTAACTAGATGTGTGATCTTAGGTAACCAACAGTTTCCCATAAAATCAGCAGTTGAGATGGATATTCCTGGTGTCTTTGCCTGTTCCAACAAGCAATGACTTAGGGAATTTAACAAATAACTAGTTATTGAGTATCTCTTCTATGCCAGGACTAGTGCTGAGCTCTGAGTGGATGTAGAAGTGAATGAGAGGGAAAAAGCCCTGAAACATACATCCTATAATAGGTGGACCGAGAGACTATAAACTAGTAAACAAAATGAACTTCACATATTTGGAAGTACTGGGAAGAAAGTAGGGGTAAGGAGAGAACAAGTAAGGAGGAGACGAAACTGCAGGTTGTGGGAAGACAAAAAGCAAATGTGCCTTTTCTGCGCAATATAATTTACTGTAACAGCAAATTTAGCAAGAAATGAAGATACAGTAAATCTTCCAAAAGGAAATGTGGAAACAACACATTTAGGGTTGGATTTTTTTTCCCTGAGAGTTCTAAGATTCTAGCACATCAGAGTACTTTTGACAGTCTCCCAAAGTGGCATTTTTTCTTTTAAATTTATATTGTGAATTAATGTTACATGACTGAAAGAGCATTTTGTGATTAAAAATTAATATAGCCTAACTGAACTCTCGTATGCAGCCACACTGATAGATGCCTAAGCATGGCCCGTGTTCTTACCTTCAAAGTTTCCCTCTGATTTTTAGGAAATTCTTCCTTTCCTGAAGCCCCACTTCCTATAAGTTCTACCTACTGGTTCTGATCCAGCCATCTAGAGCTACTCAGAATAAGATTAATATCTGCTTCCTCCTGTCAGCTACTCATAGACCCACACTTTAGTATCAAAAGTTTCAGCAAGATCTTTTTCTGGTCTAAATATTCCATTCTCTTTTCTCTAACTTTCTGAAGTAATATTTTATTTCTCTCAAACTATTTCTCAGCTTCTTTTGGACATACATGCTCTCTCTGTAAGCATAAAAGTCTGACGTACCCTCTCCTCACCAGAGATTCTAAGCAGCCCCAAATCCCTCTCAATTCCTTGTCCTACTTTGAAAATCATGGTTTGTGTCAATACTGGTTGCCACCAGCCAAAATGATGGGGAAAACTTTGCTAACAGTAGTGTCTCTTCCTACAAATGTGAAATTATATTGTGATGATATTAAACTAAAAGAAAGCACACGTCCTCAATGTAACACAGCTTTGAAGCGATATTTGACAACAGCCCTGTCTTGAGAATTCCTGCATGAAATATGGTTACTCAAGGAATGCTACCTCCAGTAACAGTGGAACTCATGTTTTGCTTTTCACAGGTGGTGTTTGAAGTGAACAATAAATATGTAACAATATTCTGCCATTTTATGTTTCCAAATCTAGGCAGTCTTGTCACAGCAGAAGTAAGATTTTTCTTCTGTGTACTAAACAAGGTAAGAGAATCAGTGGGGTAGCAACGGGATCTGAACTCAATTTAACTGGATTGGGGGAAAATGCTCACTTGCAGGTGATGGCAGAGATCCAAGCATCTAGCTGGATTTCTGTCTTTCCTGCTCCTTGGCAGACTGTGGGCACCGCCCTGCTGTGCGAATGAACAAAAGGATCCTCGGGGGTCGGACGAGTCGCCCTGGAAGGTGGCCCTGGCAATGTTCCCTGCAGAGTGAACCCAGTGGACACATTTGTGGCTGTGTCCTCATTGCCAAGAAGTGGGTTCTGACAGTCGCCCATTGCTTTGAGGGGTAAGATGCACCTTCTGAACTTTTTTGCTAGTCTGGATCTGATAATTTTGTCACTTGAGTATTCTTAGTGGCATATGTAATTCCATGAAGCTACTTCAGTGCAAACGCCACAGTTGGTCTACTTCCTGGACCTCTACCTGCTTAGGTTTTTCTACCCTTGATGTTGTCATCCTATATACGTGCTGCTCGTTTATTGCAAATGGGTGGATATTGCATATTATGATCTATGTCCTAAAGAGGGAAGAAGAGGAAGAAGTGTAGGAGATTGACTCTCCAGCCAGCATTGGTCTCTCTTCCAGCCACCTTAAATAATCAAATACATCTGAAGTTAAACAGAGGGGATTTGCTTGGATAATGTAGTGAGGTCAGGATGCTGGAGGAACTGGTGAGGAGTTTGGGAAGCAGAGGTACAGTATGTGTATCAGTCAGGGTTCTCCAGAGAAATAGACCAATGAGGGAGAGAGGAGGAGAGAGAGAGACAGAAGTTTATTTTAAGAAATTGGCTCGCATGATTGTGGGGGCTGGTGAGCCCAGGATCTGATGCTGTAGGTCGGCAGGCAGGAGACTTGAGGAGGAGTTGCATTTCAAGTCCAGGGGTGGTCTGCTGGGAGAATTCTTCCTTGCCTAGGGGAGATCTGTCTTTTTTCCATTAAGGTCTTTGACTTGTTGGATGCAAATAATCACATTATGGAGAACAATCTGCTTTATTCACAGTCCACCACTTTAAATGTCAATCTTACTCTAAAAACACCTTCACAGAAGCATCCAGAATAATGTTTAACAGAATAGTTGGGTACATGGCCCAGCCACGTTGGCACATAAAATTACCATTACTATATGCCTAATGGGAGAAGAAAAATAAAACAAAGGGAAACCTGCCCCAGATTGCCAAATGTCACTGCAGAAGGTCCTCACCTGTTCCGACTATCTGTTGTTGGGATAGTTAGGAGCAAAAGAAACCGTATAAACAATAAGAACAACAAACAAAAACCCCAAACATTTATTACACTCACCGAAGGTTCTGGGGGTCAGGCACCTGGACAGAACATATAACTGATGCAGTTTGTCCCTGCTTGGCAGTATGACTGACATCCCCCAGAGCGGGCCAGGAGGAAGCCGTGTGCCCTAGAGACCCAGCCTCCAAAGACACTTGGCATGTTCTGCTGTGTGCTCAATCAGAGCCCTCACCAGCCTGGCCCAGATCCAAAGGAAGGAACAAAACAATTCTCCTCTGGGCAACAGGACTGTCAAAGGATTTGAAGATTTTCTTTAAAATACCACAATACCCCTCATTTTATTCTTTTCTAAAAATTTTACTTCAGTACTATCACTTAATTAGGTTGATTATTTTCATTTGACCAGGTTAATTTCTAGGAAAAAAATGCATTTTTTTCCCTATCGTTATTTTTTCTTAGCTTTGCTACTTCCTGGGTTACCATGGGTCAATCTGTTAACTTCTCTGGGCCACAGTTTCTTCATCTGTGAAATGAGGGAATTAACAGTCTCCCTCATGGGGTTAGCACGAGCTTTTAAGTGAGATAGTCTGTGTAAAGCCTCAAGAATCCTTGAAAACTCCTGACATCAATCAGTAAGACCTTGAGAAAGGTCAATTTTCTTTTTAAAAATTATTGCTGAAAACATACAGTCTACCTTTTTTCACATATTTTGGCATGAGTATGTTTTCATTTTGCTAGCACTGTTTTCATTTCCTCCCACACTCTCTCTGTCACTTTCTCAGCATCGTCATGGTAACCCCCATAACAGCCTAGTGGGAGGAGCTTCACAGCTGTAAATACGTGCATTTTTCACTGGGTGTCACTGTTAACTTTTACAATTTGGAATCACACTGCATACTTTTGTTTGTAAGTTGCTTTTCTCATGCAGCAGTATATCCTGGACATCCTTCCAGGTACACTGGAGTAGCTCTAGCTTATTCTTCTTCTATTGCTCCCCAGGTGATGGACATTTGGGTTAGTTCCAGTTTGCTAGTGTCTTAACAACACTGCAATACATCTTACACAATGCCACTTACCTACTGGCACTCTTGTTTCCTACAGTCCCAGCACGTATATTTAGCTCCACATGGGGATTATGGGGGTAAATACATGGTGAGGAGACAGACATTTAAACAAATAACTAGAATATAATGTGTTACATGATCATAAAATGAAAATGTGTTTATTCAGTTGTTTGATTATTCTTTTTGGGGAAATAAAATATAAAAAAAAGTCAAACAAGTACCTCCTCTTGAGAACTTATAATGTGTAAGTTCCAGAATGGGTGGAAGAGGCCATGTAGTATGTCAGGAAATATACTGCAATCTTAATTGCTTCTGAATGGGCCAGATGTTTCCAGATATCTTTTCCAGTTCTGATTTATAACCCCATGATAAGCAGAAGATTATACTAGCAAGGGTACATTTGTCAAAAGATGATTACCTAAATGAATCCAGCAGTCCTTTAAGAAAACAACACTCCATGTGCTATTTAATCCAGGTTCATACAGTACTTCTGTCATTTCCATATGTGGTATCTAAGTTTCCTCTTCTGCTGACAGATTGTGAAGTTAAGAAGAAACCCTGCAATAGAGAAGAAATATGTGTTTATAATTAAGGAAATGGATATGATATCAAAGGACTTGGTGAAATTTCATGGAATGTTAAGCTTAACAGAACTGTCAAGAGGGGCTGGCTTTTCCATAAGAAGCTACAAATTGCCCAACTTCAAACAAGCCTTTGCTTGAATGTGTGCTAATGACTCTGATTCTATTTTACAGTCTCTCCAGTGATCCTGCAAGCTTTTGAGAACTTCTAATTGTAAGCTTTACTTTCTGTCAGAGTCATCAATTGCTGCTATTAATGGGATTTACTTCATATCCCACACTTTGGAAGGCCCAGAGTGACTCATCAGTAGGTCCTCAAACCTGTCTCTTTTTATTATATTGGTACAAAAGAGACAAGTTTGTTTTACTCTTCCATGGAGAATATTTAAACATCCCAAATGAAAATTAGGAACATAAGATACAAAGCTGATTAAATCAAGTCCCATATGCCCTAATAACGGTTCAACTCCAACAGTTCTAAAGAAGAAAGACTTTGGCTTTCAGGGGGTAATTCAACAAGTAATTTTCCTCCCTTTTTCTGTCTCTGAAGGACTTAAGGATGGACTTCCTAAGCTGGCACTCAACTAGTAATTGTCAGAAGTGTCTGATTCCTCTCCAGGAAACCTACATGAAAAGCTATCATCTCACTAAATGACCAGAGCCCTTCACCCTGTCAGGTCCCCACATCTTGCCTTCCGCCATTGCCGCCCTTCACTCCACAAGACTATGGTCGCCTCTGTGCATGGCTGCCTGTTCTACCTCAGTCTGTCAGTCTCCTCATCTCCTTTCTTTTCCCAGCTGACCTAGTGCCCTGAGCTAATCACTTCAGCCCTTTCACCAAGACCTTCAACTTCTTTGTCCCTAGATCTGCCATACACACCAGGCAGACCCCTAGCAAAGAGTCAATGTGGAGACTGTATTTTCTAATCTTACATATGCTCTTCAGAACTGAAGGAAAATGCTAAGAATGCAGATTAGTGTTGTGCTTGACTTCCAACATCATCAGTCAGACCCTTAATATTACTCCACAATCTTTCCACCTATTTCTGGATAACTCCCTCTCTCATTCTCCACATAGCAAAACCATTGTGCTTGCCCATCTATCCTGATCTTGCAGTCTTTTAATATACTCAGAAAAGGGAGCGAGAGGTTTGGTCTGACTTTTTGTTACTGCACCGATGTTGTGTTCTCAAGATTCCCTCTTTCTCGTCTGGGTGCTTATGAACAGTGCCAGTAATTCAGTTTGTTTCTCCATTCTATTGATTTGAGGGATTTGATCCTTTCCCATCAGTATTTCCACTAAAGCAGAAATTCTTCATGTTGGATCCATACCAACCCTGGGGTGTTTTCCAGCACCGCGGGAGAGTAAGGAAGTCTGACCTGACTCCACGCTCCTACTGCTCTGCCTCCTGGGAAGCTTCTCTGTCATCCTCGTCCCTCCCCTGGAAGTGTCTGGGTCTCGGATGCACCCGGAAGTTGGCTTAAACTATGGGCCGGTCTTCATAGTTTCTGGGGCTCACAGTCTGAGCTAAAACAAGGGCCCAAAGACAAGGTTTTCATATCTGTCTACATTCATCTCATCACATGGTTTCAAGTACTTGTACATTTTTTAACAAATAAAAATACCAACTACTTCTCTGGATATCAATATGAATATATTTGAATATCAAATACTTGTTCATGACTTCCACATTTATATCTCCAGCCCAGCCCAGATTCTCCCCTAATCATCACCACTACCCACCTTTAAACATGTATATTCATTGCTTAATTGAGATTTCCATTTGAATGTGTAATAAATATTTCACTTTACACGGCCCAAACAAAACTTGATTCCTCCCTCTCCCACTGAGTAAATAATGGTGTGCTCCACAAACTTCCCTGTCTCAGTAAAAGACACATTATCCGTTAGTTTGCTAATAACACCAAACCTTTAATCATCCTTCACTCCTCTCACATATACTCTAGCAGTAAGTTCTGTAAGATCTTCTTCCAAAATGCCTCCAGCCCAACCACTTCTCACCATCGTCGTGTTGATCCTAGTCTAAGGCACCATGGTACCTGGTCTTCACTCATTAGTTTCCTGAGGCTGCCATAACGTGCCATAATCTGGTGGCTTCCACCACAGAATTTTGCCATCTTACGGTTCTGAAGGCTTGAAGTCCAAGGCGAGGTATGGGTCTGGTTGGTTCCCTCGGATGCTGTGGGAGAAAGCTCCCTGCCCAGGCCCAGAGGTCTGCCAGCGATCGGCAGTGTGCCTCGGCCTGGGGGAGCTTCACTCTGATGTCCGCCTTCATCCTCACATGGTGCCTCGTTGTGCCTGCCTCCAAATCTCCCCTTTTATAGGGACACCAGTTATATTGGGTTAGGGCCCACCTTAAAGACCTCGTTTTAACTTG